TGTCCGATGATTCACTCCCCAAGTGAGCGCAACGGCCGATACTATGCCGATCCAAAGCCAGGAGCCTCTTCCAGGTCTCCCACGTGGGTGCAGGGTCCCAAAGCTTTGGGCCATCCTCGACTGCTTTCCCAGGCCACAGGCAGGGAGCTGGAAGGGAAGCGGGGCTGCCGGGATAGAACCGGCACCCATATGGGATCCCGGGCGTGCAAGGCGAGGACCTTAACCACTTGTGCCACCGCGCCGGGCCCTAAATTTGGTCATTTTGATAAGTTGGTATTCTCTAAAAATTGTTCCTTCCTAGGAGAGTCAAAGGTTTCTTGGAATATTTATATAAGTTACCAATTTGAATATGATTCTAAGAAAGTAGTCAAAATGAGAATCTATATTCCAATGAAAGAATGGTATTTTCACCTCTGTGGTTGCCAGATAAACGTGTTTGAAAGTCAGCATACTTTCTGGTATGTGTGAGAAGAGGTTTCTTATTTATTTGAATCAACATGAGGGACACCTAGTCATGTGACTAACTGAACTACCTCATTGGACAGGATTTAGAGGATAACTGAAAGGCAGTTAGGACAGATAAAGTAAAAAATAACTTGTAACTTGGAGAAGATTGTGCAAATAACTGTTTACAGTGTCTACTTACGGCTTGAGGATTTTTAGCTTTTGTTATTTGAAATGACAGCAAAAATTAGTCTGTGGTACCAAAGTCAAGGTGATGTTACAAAGTTGCTCTTGAATGTTTTCATTTTCTGTCTTGAATGTGTGCTGATGAAAGGTAGGTGTGCTTACCTACTTCTCCTTGTGCCTCTGTCAGAGGCAGGGTCCCAGGCCTGGAGACCCCAGAAGCAGATGAACTGGCACTTGATCCATGTTCTGATCAGACAGTAAGTAGATGGGCAGAAGTTAGTTTCCATGTTTGTGAAGAGCTGTGCAGATGTGGAGGCACTTTTCAATATTCAAATGTACTAGGGTTCGAGAGAAAATAGTAACCTTATTCCATTTTTTCCCAAACAAGCTAAACCTTCATCAAGCCACGAGTTAAATAATCTTGTTCCCTAACTTAACTTTAAGCATTTTGAAGTTTTGTTTTCCACTATATCTTATATTGCATGTTTATATTATCTTGTTTGATTTCTTATGAGGCTTCAATAATATTTGAAAATTTCATTTCCTTTTTGATTTATTGCTGTTATAAGGGATTCCTTGTAAAATTACCATGGTGTTAGTGAATATTTTCCATAGATTTGATTGTCGATAGATAGCATCTTTGTAGGAGTGTTTGTAATGCCTTTTTTCAAAAGCAGAAGAGAAAGACTCCTTTGCATTGCTCTGCTTTCTGTGCTGGTTAACCTCTTGAGACTAGTCAGGAGTAAGAATCTACATTTCTGTTAGGTACCACTGACTCAGAAAAAGCATTCAAGAACTACCTGTGCGTTAAATAAAGCAGCTTATTATATGACTTGGATTTGGAAAGGGAAGAAACGGATATAAATAGGAAATTTAATTAATTCAGACTTAATGGCTAACTTGAAAGTATATTCTGGCTGACATTATCCCATTTTTTTAGTAGTGTTATGGTACCTTCGTGACAAGGTCTGTTACCTAATTTTTGCCAAGTCAGGAACATGATTAGAATTGCTATTATTGTTCTGAAATGTTACTATTGAAAATGATATTTGTTTAAGTTGATCTGAGCCCTCCTCTTACCTTCTCACCAAATATAATTCAGTTTTCTGGTCTAGCTTGGCTCAATATATGTATTTGTTAAAGATTTATTTATTTTGGAAAGGTAGATTTACAGAGAGAAGGAGAGACAAAGATCTTGCAGTTGCTAGTTCACCGCTCAAGTGGATACAGTGGCCATTGCTGAGCCAATCCAAAGCCAGGAAGCTTCTTCTGGGTCTCCCCATGTGGGTGCAAGGTCCCAAGGCCTTGGGTCTTCCTTGACTGCTTTCCCAGGCCACAAGCAGGAGCTGGATGGGAAGCGGGGTTGCTGCGACACGAACCAGCACCCATATGGGATCCCAGTATGTGCAAGGCCAGCATTTAGCCACTGAACCATTACGCCAGGCCTTTAAGTCAGATTTTAAAATGTATCTGCCTTTTCAGGATGTTTGCAGATTGGATTTGGTGATTTGAATACCATGATTGAATATATTTTAATATCATGATTAATATATTCTTTTCTAAGGTCTATAACAACAACTTATATACCTTGTGCTTCTCTGAGAAAGCTGAGCTCTAGAACCTACAGGATTCTTTAAGAAAAGTGCATTATAAAGTAATTGTAGAATAAGATTCAAGGCCCGGCTCGATAGCATAGTGGCTAAATCCTTGGCTTGCATCTGCCAGGAACCCATTCGGGTTCCAGTTCATATCTGGGATGCTCCAATTCTTTACCAGCTCCCTGCTTGTGGCCTAGGAAAGCAGTAGAGGATGACCCAAAGCCTTGGGACCCTGCGTCTGCATGGGAGACCTGGAAGAAGCTCCTGGCTCCTGGCTCCTGGCTTTGCATCATCCGCTAAGTACCAGCCTTTGCAATCACCTCTGGAGTGAACAAGCAGATGGAAGATTTTTCTCTCTGTATCTTCTCTCTGTATATCTGCCTTTCCAATAAAAATGTTTAAAAAAATCAATTCTACCTTTAAAGAAAGCCATATACTTTTAAAAAAAGATTTATTTATTTTTATTGGAAACTCTGGTATCCAGAGGAGAGGAGAGACAGAGAGGAAGATCTACGTAGCTGCAGCAGTGGGAGCTGAGCCAGTCTGAAGCCAGGAGCCTGGAGCTTCTTCTGGGTCTCCCACATGGGTGCAGGGTCCCAAGTCTTTAGGCCATCTTCCACTGCCTTCCCAGGCCACAAGCTGGGAGCTGGATAGGAAGTGGAGCAGCTGGGACATGAACTGGCACTCATATGGGATCCTGATGTAAGAAAGGTAAGGACTTTAGTCACTAGGCTACCATGCCAGGCCCATCATATACCTTTAGCAACACATTTTAATGTCATTTTCCATATTTTTTGTATCTAAATATTGTCATATACTTGAGGATGTCATTTTACATTTCATAGATCTTGGGGCCCGGCGTGATAGCATAGTGGTTAAAGTCCTCGCCTTGCGTATGCTGGGATCCCATATGGGCGCCAGTTCTAATCCTGGCGGCCCTGCTTCCCATCCAGTTCCCTGCTTGTGGCCTGGGACAGCAATAGAGGACGGCCCAATGCTTTGGGATCCCGCACCCGTGTGAGAGACCTGGAAGAGCTCCTGACTTTGGATCGGCTCAGCTCCAACTGTTGTGCTCACTTGGGGAGTGAACCATCTGACCAAAGATCTTCCTCTTTGTCTCTTCTCCTTTCTGTATATCCTTCTTTCCAATAAAAATAAATAAATCTTATAAAAAAAGAACTTAAAAAATGAAATTTCATAGATCTTTAGAACTTGGACCTTGAGGTCTTGGACCATCATCTAGTTCATTCACCAAATGCCTGCAATGGCTGCAGCTGCAGTAGGCCAGAACCAAGAGCCAGTCAGTCTGCGTCTCTCATCTTGGAGGCAGAACCAATCGCCTGAGCTGTCTCACTGCTGCCACCTAGTTGTGCATTAGCAAGAAGCGGAAAGGCATACTGATGGAGCGTGTGGGTGTCTGGAGCTGTATCTTAACCACTAGACCAAACATTGACCCTGGGGGTGTTCTTACAGTAAGAAGGCTGTTCCAGCTTGACCTTATTGCTGCCTTTTAATTTGAAAGGTAGAATAACAATTTGATTTTTAGTTGGAATATATATTTAAGGAAGCTTGTCTAGGTTTGGTTCATTGAGAGGTGGTGGTTTAGTAGCTTGCAGAGATTGCCCCATAGTTTCCCCATAGTGTGTTGGTGGCTGGACTCAGCATCGTCGTAGCGTCTATCTTTGAAAATAGCTTGGATATGTCTATCCTGATTTTTCAGATTGAGTTTTAAAAATTTGAGGTTATTTCTATATGTTAATAAGAAACATTTCTCGGCAAGACTAAGTGTGTAGTTTGACAAAGAAAGTTCCCCCAGGATCTTCCCTGTCTCTGCATTCCCTGACAAGTATGTGCTTTTTGATTTTTATTTTTTAAAGATTTATTTATTTGAAAAAATTATGTATATGGAGAGAAAGACACAGATTTTCTGTCTGCTCGTTTGATCTCCAGACTCCTCCAGTAGCCAGGGCTGAGTCAGTCTGAAGCCAGGAGCCAGGAACCTCTGGGTTTTCTGTGTGGGTGTAGGGGCACAAATTGGGTATTCCTCTGGTGCCCTTGTGGGATCCTCGTGTTGCAGGTGGTGGCTTTACCAACTAGGCCATGGTGCCAGCCCTTCAGTGTGTGTTTGCAGTACTTGAGATGTGGCTATAAAACGCCTTATAGTGTGTTTAGTATTGGTTTATTCAGCCCTGGCGGTGTCGACTATGTAGAGGAATAAAGCCTGTTTTAAAGATGAATCTTTTTGTTATACATTCTGCCCTGAAAGGAAGGAGAGAGATTTTAAAAAATTATCTGTTACTATCTTGCACACAGGAAAATATGAATTATGAAAAAACATGAATGAACCTCCAGATTTTTCTGTACCAAAATAAACTTAATTTTCATGAACTTTTTTGAAATACCACTATATATATTCTTTTTAGATGGAAGGTTGAGATAGAAGGCTACTGAGTTGATACTGAACTATTTCTAGAACCCGATTGTAATTTCCCCCTTTTAAGACTCCCGTCAAGGGTTTAGTGATTAGAGATACTGTGTACTTGTTTCACTACCTTTGAACAAGAATCAGTATGTACAGTAGAAATTTCCTGACCACAGTTTGGAAAATTATGATGTAATTCTTTAGCCTTGAATCCAGAAAAAGGACCACTCTGAATATGGGTTTATTAGTTGGTGGTGAATTCTTGAGTCGCCAACTATGAGCCCTCTGTGTCCATATATTATCTTACTTTATGGAGTAAGGTCCCTGAGTTCTCCTCTTTCCTTCCACAGGGCAAGCAGGAGGACTTCAAGACGACAGTTCTGGAGGGTATGGAGACGGCCAAGCATCAGGTGAGGGTGGCGTTAGATGCTTGCCACTTAGCAGCAAGAGCCGCCAAATCAGGGATTGATGCTTGCAAGTTTTTTTTTTTTTTTTGGCTGTGGTATCCACATTTTAAAGTGCAGGGGAATTTGAACCCTCAGGACAGAGTAGTGTAATAGGAGAGAGTGTAGCTAGAACAGAGGCAAGCAAACCTTTTGAAGTCTTCAGGCCGATCTCAGCCCTCCAACTTTTCATGTTTTTGAGGAGGCGGCGGGTATAGCAATCATGATATAAGACACACTTAGGAACCTTGGGACCTTTACAGAGAAATAGAGGAGTGTATCTGCAGAAGCCATGGGCTGGAGAAGCTGGAGGTCAGAGGAATTATGCAGGCAAGTGACATCTTTGTAGCCGTGGTTGTTACAGGGTGTTTGGTATGTTTTTTTAGTTAAAATTATGCAGTTAAATTTTTTGAAATTCAAACATTTTGTTTCTTGTGAAAATTATCTTAAAAATTACTTAACTCTTTTCAGACCAAACAATCAGAGTTTTTTTACTTTTAGGAAAAGATAAAAATTGTGTAGGGGCCACCAGGTTGGGGTAGTTGTTTGTTCCAGGAATCCAGAGTAACAGGATGATTTTATCTTTTGCCTCTTGAAGTATATTTTTGTGTGTTCAGTGCTCAAAGATAATTTAGTTTGAATAGGTGTATTAGTTCACTTTTGCAGATTGTTACTTTTAAACTGTTAAGTCCACTTTTGACTGTTGTAGTTTGCATACTGAAGATCCAAGGAGTGTATGCGTTTTACTCTTGAATAACAATTCCGTGTGAGTAGAGCAGTTCCCAGAGGATGCAGATTCTTAGAAGTCGTTTAAGTGCTGTGCCTAGGCTCTCAGGTATTGGTATGGCAGATACATTTTCAAGAATGCTTTTTATCAAAGAATACACAGATCTTACGTAGAACTGTTGAGGATGAGGGGAGACCTGTGGAACTTTAATTGTGAAGATACTCAGTTTTCTTGTGGCTTTTGTGTTTTTAAAATATTTGCTCTTTTGCTTAAGTAAACAACGTGGAATATTGCTGAATGAAATGGACTTTGAAGTGGACATGTGGCACTGAGTTGGTGTTTGTGGGAGGGTGGTGGCTATTCTGAAGTCTTCAAGATCTCTGTTCAGGTTTGTCCTATTCAGCAGTGTGTGTGGGGGGAATGGTCCGTCAGGAACCTGCCCTGCAGTGTGACCTGTTTCTTCCCCTCTGAAGCCAAATGACCCTCATGAATATCTTGGGCTGAGGATCATATCTTGACTTACTATCAACTTCCAGATGATACATGCATGCCAGATCTTAGGAGGGAACTTGACATCATCTTGTCCAGGTTCCTGCCATCAAACACATGGATATTGAGTCTTCCCTGTTTTATGAGTTAGGACCTGGAAACTAAAGAAATTGACCTTACTCAAGCAGCTATTTATCATGAGTTGTGGAGGTGTGAGAACCTTGCAATCTTACTTTTTAATGCATGGACTATTCCTTATATTCTTGGAATCAGATTTAAATAGGCATTTACCCTAAAAATAAGAAATTTGGAGTTCGATTCTCTTTAAAAAATTTCTCCTTGCTGTTCTAAATTCTGTTTTTGAACTGTTATAGGACTTGCTATGATACTTCTTAACTTCACTGATTTTAAGTTGTTTTTAACTGTAGATAGCAACAGGCTTTTGTTTTCACTTTCCAACTAGAAATCTAGTTACAGTACATTTCTAGTTTTACAAGTTAAAGGCAGGTAACAGTCATGAGGCCTTCTTTTCTTGTTAATATCTCTGTCACTCTAATCTGTAGATACTACCCATATCTTTTCAGACTTGGGGAAGTGATAGCTGGGACAGAGAGGCTGTAATCTCATGTTTCCCTCTTTTTATTCTCTAGTTGGCCTTTCCTAGAAGGACTCAGTCATTCCCTTGTATCTGCTTTGAGTGTTTAACAAAGCTTGGGCCGGTGAGACACCCATTGGAAAGGGCAGTTTAGCTTTGGCATCACTACATTCTGAGAAGTGACACTGGGGTTTGCTGTGAGAAATGGAGAAGAGGAAGGAATTGAACAGAAGGCAAGGTTGACATATAGGCAACTTTGGAGCTTTTTTTAGTTTAAGGTAAAATCTTTGAACCATTCTGTTTGTGCGCACAAAAACGTTGAAAGTGCAGAACTTCAGAATTAGAAGTACTGTTATAAGGTTATTACTAAAGTCTACTGTATCCCAAGAGGCTTTTCCTCTAAAGGAGAAACTTAGATTACTCAGAGTGGCCTGTTATTCCGTTTTGGAAATATCCTATAGGAAAGTTCCAGTTTGTTTCTTTTTATCTTGCAGGCTTTTCACTCTGATTTTGATAATGATCTTTGTTCCTTGAAATGGCCTATTCCCCAAATGGCAGGAAATGATTATGGACTTTTTAGATGTTGCTTTCTTCTTTAAATATTGATATCGTAGCAGAGTTCAGAGTACCTACTTTTTAGATACCACTTTGGAGTGTATTTTTAGCCTAACAGTTAAGACTTCCACATTACAGTGCCAGGGTTTGATTCTCAGCTCTGGCTTCTGCTTCCGGCTTCTTGCTGATGGCAGCTGTGATGACTGAAGTAGTTGGGTCTCTGCCTCCCATGTGGCACATGGATTAGATTCCTGGCTGTTGCTCCTGGCTTCCACCTGGCCCAAGCCGTTGCTGGCATGTGTGGAGTGGATTAACGGATGGAAGTGTCCTTTCTTGTTCTTCAAACATAAATTTAAACAGCAAAAACCCAGAGACAAAAAAAAAATTCATAATTACTAAAAGAGGTGAGTGGAAGACAGAGATGGAGAAGAATATTATCCCAGGCATACATTAATGTCACAACTTTTAGGTTCCTAAACTTTATTTGTTTTGAACTTTAAAAAGGAAAAAAAAATCCCACCCAAAATAGCAATAATTACAGTCATTTATTTGAGGAGAAGGGCTCCCATCCACTGGTTCAGTCTCCAGGTGCCTGCAGCAGCTGTGCTCGGGCTAGGAGCTCAATCCCAGTCAGCCCTGTATTTAACAGGAACCCAAGTACATGAGCCCACTACTTGCTGGGTGCACATTAGTAGGAACTGGGAATTGAGAGCAGAGACAGGACTGGGTCCAGAGACTCCAGCCAGGGTCTGAGGGTCCCAAATCACGTCTTCGGTGCTAGACCAAATACATGTGTGAAACCTGGATGCTGATGTGGATAGACCATGAAACTGTAATACACATTGCATAAATATTCCTAATTTTTACAGTCTGAAAATTTCTTTTTCTTTTTTTCTTTTTTTAAAAGATTTTATTTTCATTGGAAAGTTAGATACATAGAGAGGAAGATCCTCTCTCTGCTGATTCACCCCCCAAGTGGCTGCAATGGCCAAAGCTGCGCCGATTTGGAGCCAGGAGCTTCTTCCAGGTCCCCCGCGCGAGTGCAGGGTCAAAAGGGTTTGGACTATCCTCAACTGCTTCCTCAGGCCAGAAGCAGGGAGCTGGATGGGAAGTAGGGCCACCTGGATTAGAACTGGTATCCATATATGGGGTCCCAGTGCATTCAAGGCAAGGACTTAGCCGTTAGACCACCTCACCAGGCCCTGGAAATTTCTTTTTTATGTTTTTTTTTTTTTTTTCTTATTAATAAATTTTATTTTGACATTCTTTACATAGTTAATTAGGGTAAGAAGGTTCAAGGGCTACAGGAAAGTGGATAATACTAGTATGTTTTCCATATTGTTAGCTTCATATTCAAAGGGGGGTATTTAAGGGAGAAGCCCACCCATTTCCCACCCTCCCCAGGTCCCGGATATAGGGCATGCTCTGAGGTTCTTGCTCAAGTGGTCTTGATATTGCCACAGTTATGAATCACTGTCAATCTTGCCACTCCAAGCACTATGAGATCTTTGAAAAATCCACTGATTGACATAGTCCATCATAGCTGAGATGGTTGGTTGACCTGTTCTGTCTTCTCTCTTTTCTTCGTTAGGGTTCTGAGTCCAGCATTTAGATTAGGAAGATCTCCAAAGAAACTTCTTGTATGTGCTAACAAGTACAGGGCCTGGCACCGTCCATCGCTCCAATCAGCTGGTGGTTGCAATTCCTGGGTTGGTTCTGTTTTCACTCCCGACTTCCACTGGAACCAATGGGTGTTGCAGTCCAGCCTGGTTCTGCCCAGCACATACTTGGCCCTCACATAAACCAGCAGGAGCTGTAGCCTAGGTTGGAGCGACCCACAATAACCCCAACCAGGCCCACCCCCTACCCTGGTTTGCCAGTAAGTGTAGCAGTAATCCAGTCTGTCCCACATCCCATTCCACCCCAGCCGCTGTCTTAGTTTTATGTCCTCCCATGGAAGTGGTAACCCAAGAGGGATGAGCCCACTGTTTCCCTCCCAGGCCTCTCCCACTCCCAGCTTCCAGTTGATGCTGCCCAAACAAACCTCGCCCACTTTAATTTTGTTTGCACCAGTAGGAATAATCCGCCCAGCCTGGCCTTTCCCTGATCTAGTCCACATGAGGCGCACAGGTGTGGTAGCTCTGCCTAGTCTGGTCTGCCCCCATCCCAGCCCATGCTCTCCTGTGGAAGTAGCTGTCCAGCAAAGGAACCCTCCCTTATTCCCCTGCCAGCTCTGCCCACTTCCTTTCTTGTTCTCAGGCTGGTTGGGCGCTGCGGTCCCTTCCGGTACAGGCAACCTCACCTCGGCATTCCATAATGTGCACTAGTCTTTGTTGCGACCGAACCTGGGTCGACCCACACTGGTGCCTGGATTTGCCAGTGGATGACGTGGACAGATTCAGCCTGGTCTTGCCCCCACGTCTGCCAATTGTATGCCAGTGGGTAGTTTTCCATGGCTTTTTCTGGGCTGTTTCCTATCATGTTTCTTGCGTTTACCTGCTGGGTCTGTGCCCTGCCAGAGGAGTTGCCCAGGCTCCTCCATCAGAACCTCTCCCAATGCCAGGTTTCACGCTTACCAGTGGGTCCATGAGCCAACCCTAC